CATGGACAAATGGGGAGGATCATAAAATTTCATTCTCAAAGGGGTCCTCTGGATTAGAAGGGGAACTATATATACAAATTTAGGTTTTCTTAAAACAGCGTAACTAAAAAAATCACAAAATTATGAAAAATATAAGAAAGAACTCTACGCATTGTCAAGATCCTCACTCCAAAACTGCTTTGTGTTACCCCTGAAGAGTTTATCTTGTTTTTAAACATAGGTTTCAAGACACAGAGGCATGTCTATCTTTACAATGAAAGCATTCGCAGACATTCAACTGGCATTAGGCATTTTGCTCAGTGTCTCCAGAAACTCTGCCTTTTGAGGTGTAAATAGGTGAGAGAAGACCTCCCTGAGGGCACCAAACCCTGGGAAGATGGATGGAGTGGGGCTGGAGGCAGCGGCTGCCTGGGCAGGAAGCTCGGAGGTGATGCTGAGAGCTGGGGAGGCTTCACGGCTCCCAGCATCATCTGCTAAGAGGAAACAAGGGTGACCTACCTCTGCCTGAAGCCCATCTTTCAGAGGCTAGTGAATATGTGAGGGCTCCCCCTATCCCCCCCCCCAAAAAAAAAAAAATCTAATAAGATTGGGTTGTTCATTTCTTCAAATATCAGCTTCTCCACTTTCCAATGCACTTTGGCTTATATCCTACGCCGATGTGTCTTGTATCTTGGAGGACACAGAGCCCATCATCTCCTTGTACAGATGAATTTCCAGTGAATTATTTGGATAGTGAGAGTAATTAAATGTTCAGATTCAGGAAACTCCTTGTTTCCCATGATAAATGTCTCATTACCTCATTTCACATTGGGTTCCTGTGTCCTAGACAAGGAAGCAAAGAGCGTACTTGTGGGAGGCTGGATGCCTACCTCAGCATTTTGGCTTTGACGTTAATTAGCCGAGACCTTGTGAGAATTATTTTGACATCACCTGAGGAAATGAGGGATTTAGGCTAGTCAATCTCTAAGATCCTTTACTAATCTAAGTTTTATGTACCCTTCTCTGGCTAAGTACACTTTTAACTCATTCTGTAACCTTAGGCATTCGATGTAAAATTTTCCACTCTCTTGTAACTTTCCAGATACATCTCACTTTCCAAATGATTAATCTTCTGAGCAGGTCCAACTTGAGTTATTTTCACACTTTTATCTTCTTCTTCAATTGGAAAGCCAAGAACTGTGTATAGAGTAGTTAAAAATATATATATCACCTCTTGCTCTGTAATGCCATTGTTTTCCTTCTTTTTAGTAACCTTTAAATCAAATAATAATTGTGTATTTTAAATGTATTATTAGTACCTGCCAGATGTTTACCTGAAAATCCTTTTTTCCTTTTTTAAAATTAAATTTACTAGGGTAATATTGGCTAATAACATTTTATAAATTTCAGGTGTGCAATATTTTAATTCAAAATGTGTGAACTCTATTGCATGCTCAACCCCCAAAGATTAGATTACTTCTGTTAACATACCTTTGAACCCTGTTACCCTCCCCCAACTCCTCTTCCCCACCCTTCCCCCCACCTCTCTTCCTCTCTGTTAGCTACCATTCTGTTTTCTGTACCTATGAGTTTCTTGTTTGTTTTGTTCGTTTGTTGCCTTTTTTGTTTTATATTCCACATAAGTAAAATTATGTGGCTTTTGTTCTTTTTCTGTCTGACTTATGTCACTTAGCATACATTCTCTCAAGATCCATGTTACTGCAAATGGCAGTATTTCATCTTTTTTATGGCGGAGTCATATTCCGTTGTATATATGCACCACATCTTCATTATCCTTTCATTCACCTGTGGACACTTAAGTTGTTTCTGTGTGTTGGCTATTGGAAACAGTGCTACAATGAACATAGGGATGCAGATATCTTTATGAATTAGTGTTTTCATATTCAGAAAAACCCTTTTCTGAATATGCCAAGTACCTAGATTTACTGATATCTATTGAGCCAGGGACTGTGCTCGATCCTATAGGGACTCATGCAAGTGGATGGTAAGCACCATTATTTTAAAGTAGAATACAAAATTGTAGCATACACTTCATATAAGAAGTTTATTGTTTTGTGGGCGTTTTCCGGGGACTCTAGTTTTCTCCCACATCCCAAAGATGTGCACGTGACATGAATTGGCCAATCTCCATTGTCCCAGTCTGAGTGAGTGTGTGCGTGGGTGTGAGTGCCCTGTGATGGATGGGCATCCTGTCCAGGGTGGGCTCCTATCTGGTTCCCTGAGTTGCTGGGAGAGGCTCTGCCAGCCCTTGACCCCACACTGGAATAAGTAGGTTAGAAAATAATGATCTTACTTGTTTTTCTTCATCTTTCTTAAATGTATGTGTAGCTCACATTTCAGTGTTTAATATTAGAAGTGTTTTGGGTCTTGATTTAGAAGCTTGGTGATGTTTTTGTATTTAAAAATATGCCATAGATGCCGTAACCGGTTTGGCTTAGTGGATAGAGCGTTGGCCTGCGGACTGAAGGGTCCCAGGTGTGCAGGAGGCAGCTGATCGATGTTTCTAACTCTCTATCCCTCTTCCTTCCTCTCTGTAAAAAATTAATAAAATATATTTAAAAAATAAAAATATGCCATAGAAACTTAACTCTTATTTATATCAGTTAGCCTATGGTAAAACCGGTTTTGTTACACATTTTTTCACGTGAAGTCTCCACCTTTAGATGATGTTAAATGAGGACATTTACCAGCATAATCATTTTTATTTTACTACTAGTAGCCCGGTGCACAGATTCATGCACATTGAAAGGAAATTAATTAGAAGAAATATTTTAATATTGCTATTTGCCCTTTCTCTATAATAGAAGTGTCAGAGATAAAAGAAAATTTGTAAAATATATATGAAAATAATATATAAATTGATTAATAAGTAAACAATAACAACATGCTATAACAAAGACATGATATAAAAACAGCAAAAACATGATATAAAAACAACATTGGTAAAAATAATGACTGATAAATTTATTAAACTTATTCTAATATCTCCCTGTATCCACATTAAGAGTAAAAACACTTTCAGAGTGCTTGACTAATTTCCCTTGTGATGAAGTATTTACAACTTTAACTTTAATGTCACACGCTCTTCAAACTCGAGAGAAAGCAACATATAACTGACTATGTCCAAAAACGGGTTCAGGTAGGAATATTCCTACTCTGTCTAGAGTTTGTTTTTGTGATTTATTAATAGTCATTGCAAATGCTGGCATCATGGGAAACTGTCTTCAAATTAATTTAAATGGGAGGCCAGTGTCAGATGGGGACAAATCAATTCTCAGAATCAGAACAACCTCTCCTTCTGCAGATCCTGTTAATACTTGAGATTCTATTATGTTAGATCACAATCTTTTGATAATAAATCTAGTACCTTTACAAAGACCCCATTTACTATTAAGATTTCTCAGTAGCATGATGATTGCACCTACTTTCAATTTTAATTTATGACACTGTATTCCCAAAGGAGTAATACTATTAAGAAGTTTGATGAGAAATTTTTCCTTTTCAGCATCATCCGTTGAATCGATGGAATCATCACTCAAATAGGTGTGAAAATCTCCATCGAGTATATCCAAAAGTTCTTCATTTAATTTATGAACGTGCTCATTTTTAGGACAAAGAATCACACCTTTAAATATATTTTTAATATTATCAATAGATATAATTCACAATCAACAATGACAGATCGAAACACATGTGTGCGATTGACTCCAGTTAGAGCTTTATATGTATTGCGCATGCGCAAGTCAATGTTTATTTTTAAATTGCCAGTGCGCATCATATGTACCGGCCGGTTGGTCAGTCAGATGGTTGGACAGACATACAGTCAGTCACTTAGCCTTTTATATATATAGATATAGATAATAATTCAATTTAAAATAGTTAATAAATTCTAGGTCTGGGTTTTTATAATGGTAACAGCTCGCATTTACTGGCTACAAAGTATTTTGCTATGTCCAGGCAGTGTTGTAGACACAATGTAGTTCATATCACAAGAATAGGTAGATAGTTGTTAGGAGTGTGGAGTCTGGAGCCTCACTTTGTTCAAATTCTGATTTTACCACATTGCCTATATGACACTGGGCAAATTCGCCTAAATGGGCTTCATTTTTCAGTCTGTAAAAGTGGATAATAATAAATACAACTCATAAGGTTGACATGAGAATTAAAGCCAAATTAATCTCTGTTTAGAATGGTGACAATACCTAGTGCCTAATAAGGGCTACGTAGCTGTGAGCTGTTGTCACGGTCGTCATCATCAACTCTCACAGTAACCCTGTGGTAGTTAATTTTGAGTCATGACTAATTACAAACCCTACAAAGTAGGTAGAACATTGACATTTGGGGAGGTTGGCTAAAGCCACAAAGGCAAGATGTGTGGCAGGTCCCTTACTCAAGCCCTGGCAACTGGTTCCAGAGTCTGGGCTTTTCACGCTGCATAACATGGCCACACTGTGTACCAGTAGCTTCCAGAATAATTGTCTACAGGTCATTTACATATTATGTCCCCCTTCCCCTTGTCATCATGTCAAAGAAGCTTGATTTCCCCCACTAATTGCTTTTCTTTTGAGCAGAAGTGAGAGTCAGCTACGCTGTAGTAGGAAGAACTCCCACATACAAATGAGTAGGGAGGAGGAGGATGGAGCTGGCAGTTCCTGACCATCTTCCACATGTGAAGTGCAGAGGCTCACACTTCGCAAACATCTCATTTCATCTGAACAGATACCCCTTTGGGTATATCTTATCCCCATTTTATAGATGAGAAAACCAAAGCTGATCTTGTCTGAAATCACAAAGAATGGGTCTGACTCCAAGGCTTTGCCACTAGGCTAAGCTGAGAAATCGAATGTAATGAGAGTTATTGTGAACTCTTTGGTCAAGCAATTCTTCAATAACCATTATCTAATTTGCTTGTTCATGAAAGGCAGAGAGCCTGTTTTCTTCCAAGTGACTTCACTGTGTCACTCTGCTGAGGTGTGTTCTGTCCTCTTGTTCCCTTCCAGAGGAGATCTGTACCCTCGTCATCGCTGAGACTTTCCCTGAAGATGCAGGGGTCTTTACCTGCTCGGCAAGAAATGACTACGGCTCAGTAACCAGCACTGCCCAGCTGGTGGTCACCGCAGGTACGTGAGGAGTAAGAAATGACAGGGTTCTGTCCCCAGCCCTCAGTGTGGCTTGCCATGGGGGAGAGAACTGTCCCAGGAGAAGTGCCCAGCCATTGGGAATGTGCGCTGCCACTCCAGGAGTTATCCTGAAGGGCAGTGTTTCATCAGCAAACAAAAGGATTTGGGGGGAGAGGAGTGAAAGTGGAGATGAAAAACAAAAAGATAATGATGATGGAGCAGCTGAACACCCATGGAGCTATTTTTGTAAATCACCCATGCAGTCTTGGTCTTGGAAGCGATGGAGCTGGTTTCCTAACATGCTTCATGCTAACCCAGAATCATGCTCACATCAGAAGGCCACCTGGGCATGGGAGATGCTGTCACTGTTTTGAGCAGCGTCAACACAGGAGAGGAGATATATGTTCAGAAAAATTCAGGTTGAACCCACGTTTGAAACTTCTGAAAAAGTAGTACAAAATACACCTGATGGAATTTGGAGAAACTGTAAGATCTTAGATATCAAATTTCACTGGCAGTGAAATATAGCTATGATATGAAAAACTACAGCAATATACTATCAAAGCCAATATTCAAAAATGCCTGTATATTTTTTAAACCCCGAAATTTACCACTAGCAAAGGCAACATGAAACAGCTTTTCCTTTAACTTTAGCTTGCTCTTTTCTGCTATTATTAATATGCTATACCTTAGTTTATTTTTATTGCCTCGTCTCTATTATTTATTTTACAGCAAATGTTACAATGTATCTTTGACCAGGCCTGACACATAGTGCACATAACAGGGAATCAGTAAATGGGGTTGTTGGCTGGATGGGAGAGACATGGAGAGAGCAGCGGAATCGCACTCTGATTTCTTTGGAAGAGTGGGAACTTGGTGCTAGGGGGCAGCAGAGGCCCAACCAAGACTGGGTCAGGGAGCTTAGCGTGGGAATTATTTGTTTTCATTTTAAGAAAAGAACTGTGGATGCTCAGGCAGAGCTGATGTGCCTCAAGATAGCTTCCCCAGAGTGTCGAAAATCCCCTCTCTGCCCTGAGTTTTGGCACCCAGTTCTGTCAACAACAGTTGAGCATCATCTTTAATAAAGGCTCCTGAGAGGGAATTGAAAGCTAAAAAAAAGAAAAAATGAGGGGACATATGTAATACTCTCAACAATAAAGATTTTTTAAAAAGATACAGTAATGTTTTAATAAAATGGAATGACTAAAGAAAAAAGAAAGGTAGGAAGAGAGGGAAGAGAGAGAGAAAGAAGGAAAGGAAGAGAGAAAGGAAGGAAAAGGCTCACCTTAATGGGGGAACGGTTGATTGAATGAGTGCTTTAAGTGTGCATGGTCGGAGCTACAGAGCAGGGAAGAGCCCAGTGTTTTGATTCTGGTTGGCTTGAGGACTGTCCCATCAGATGGCCATTGTGCATTCTCCAAGAGTATGGCCCAAACTCCGGACTCTCGAAGTCTGCTGGCAAAACTTGGCCTTTTTATCTGGGGTAGGTAGGCCAAGCATAATAAACGAATACTGCTGAGCTCTCCTCCGTTCACCTCGGTAAGCACTTTTGAGTACATTCCAGGAGCTCTGCTGGGCTCAGAGCAAAGTGAGAAATCCACAGAAGACATGATCTTACCTCAAAACATATTCAGTTTATTGAGAGTAAAGAAAAAAATGGGGGTGGAAGTTGAGTTATGGCTGTGGCAATCATCTAACTGGAAAAAAATTATCTATGAGGTCATAAGACATTTCCCTTAGACTCAGAGCTTTACTTAACTTGCAGTCGAATGAATCCCTCCCTATTCATTGCTTATCCCATAAAACCTTAGGGCTTGAGCTAATATTAGTAAAGCTCAGATAGGATGTTCAGTCGGATCTGTGGCTGAGATGTGAGAAGACAAAGCATTATTAGTTGATACTGTGTCTGTTGTCATTTTTAAACTAAGTTCTGTCTTTAGCTCTGGCTTGAAATGAATAGGTAGCTGCTTTCCCCACTTGTGGGCTCATTCAGGAAATGAAACACTAGCAGTCGCCCAAACAAGCTCGGGCGAACCAAGCCCTCCAGCTGGCTTCGCTTCTGCGTCAGATGCCAGCCCCACAGCTACCTCTCCTGTGACACCAGGGCCCGAGGGATCCTCAGACCATCCATAACAGTGTGAATGTAACTGTTGTGTTAGTAGCATCGTATTATTTGTTCCCTCTCTTTCCCCTTCCTCAGCCAACACCGAGGACTGTAGCTATGACTCCACGGGTGAATCCAACAGCGATCACTTCCAGCACTTCCCGCCTCCCCCTCCGATCTTGGAAACCAATCCCTTTGAGTTGGCTCCAAAGAAACCAGCCGAGATCCAGCAGGTGAACAGCCCGGAGTTAGGCCGCAGCATGGCAGCCCTTCAAATGCCATTCAGTCCTGCCGAGAGGGAAACGAACGGAGTGCACCCCAGCCACGGAGTCAACGGACTGATTAATGGCAAAGCGAACGGTAATAAATCTCCCCCAACACCAGCTGTCCTGCTTTCACCCACAAAGGAGCCTCCACCTCTGCTTGCCAAGCCGAAACTGTGAGTATTTCTGCACGTTTCGCAACACTTCCCTTACCGCCGCTAAATCGCCTCTCTGGTCAGTGAAAACTCTTTGCCTGGACTCTACTCGGTGGCACGTTGCCCCTTCTGCAGGCCAGCTGTCTCTGGCTGATGGGGCTTTGCTACCAAGTGGGGTCTTTGAAAAAAAAATACAAAAGATACCTAAAAATAAAGAAGGTACATGAGGAGCTTGGTGACCTCTGCCCTTTGCTAAAAGGCTATAACTGGTTCCAGCTGTGAAAATATCTGTGCTCCGTGTGGCCTTCCATTGTACAGCAAGGACGTAGCCGCTCCCCGGAGGTGATGGGCCAGGGGACCTGCTTTGAGCTCTCTGTGAACGGCATTTCCAAATGTTTTCAATGTAAGAATCGGTAAGGAAATCTGATATAGATAAGCACAGGAAGACGAGGGGCTGAGGATGGGAAATTCATTGTACAGAACCCGGGAGGGGAATGACACCAGGGATAGCCGGCTGGTCAGGAAGAAGAGCGCCCTTCACAACACGACCTCTGAGGCTTTGGAATTTCCATGAATACCAGCTTCACATTTGATTTCCACTATTTTCTTAGGACGATAAACCTTGCGGGAGCTGTTTCCATTGGCACTCCACAGCAGAGAGTTGTTATGAATGGAGCCCTTACAGTGTCAGAGAGAGACAGAAATCAATTACCTCCAAAGGTTCTATCGTAGCATAACAGATCCTGAGTTACTGCCCTGACAGAGGTCAGTGGAAATGTCAGCGTCATATAAAATGCATACATACTCGACGAGGTCACATTTCCTCGGGAATGAATGTGCCGGGATCTAGGAAAGCCCCTTAGATTTCCCCATGATGGCTGATGTTTTTGGCTTGGGGCAGGAAAGATGACTTTAGGGGGTAGGAGTTGTTTCTCTGTAGTCTACTCTCTTTTCTCTGTCATCGGCTCACATGTTGGAATAGCCTATATATCTATACATTGCGTAATTGTTTACCAAGTGATTTCATGAACATGATTAGACTAATGAAATAAATCAGCCAAATGAACACCTTAAGTTAACAAATGGGCAGACAATTTTATAAAAATGAACTTCTGGGCAATCTCGTGTTGCAGTTTCAAAAATGACCACCCTGCCCTTAAGCCTGTATGCCGTCCAGGCTCGGTTTTCAGGCAGTGGGGCTACTAGGTTTGTATACCGTCGTGTGAAAGGTGCCAGGTGAACATTTAATACCTGACTCCATCTCTGTTGAGACGCTGAACAGGTAAAACGAGGTCAAATGCGGTAGCCTTAGAAGAGATACACACTCTATAGCTTCAACCCATAAAATTAATTGCCACGGCTGACTCCTTTTATCTTTGCATTTTGAATATGTATTTCTAGTGCTTTTAATGAAACGAGGGACCTGCTCTCCCCGGGTGGGCGGGGGAGAGGAGGGGAGGGAAGGTTAGGGGGAGAAAGGGTGGATGTTGCTTAATGGCTGGGACTTGACTGTGCTCTTGATTAAGTGACCTGTGTCCATGGTAATGGCTGTCATAAATTAGATGTGAATCACAGGAGAGCAGTGGAAGAGCTGTTAACAGGCATTTCTGCCCTTCTTATCTCAGGAGTTTCAGCAGCTGCTCAGCTTTTAGCTATGGTGATGTGAGTACGCCTGGTGGGGGTGGGGACATGTCTGCAAAACACAGACAACAGTTCTGTGGTTATTAAGAGGATGAGTAGCTTAAGCACAAGTTTGAAGAGTGACATCATAATTTGCCTATTAGTCAGATTTTTAATATAAAATAAGATACAGGAAAAATAGACTTTAGTGTTCAAGATCTGTATAGAGAAAGGCAGGACATCTAATTACAAACCTGGTAGCTTAGAAATAGCATTTACTGGTACCAGTTTTTACCACTGTTTTCTTTTTTAAAAAATCTTTAGGTGTTTAAGTATATCCTTAGAGCACCACTTAGCGATTTTCTATTGTATGCCTGCCATTTACTTGATAGAAAATCATAGGTGATGACACTTGAAAATATATATTAATTTTAAATTTTTCTTATGGATTATAGTACTTTATTTGCTTTTGTTTTCAGTACAAAGTAAATGCATCTTGATGTGACAAATAATACAGAATAACTCACTCTCACTGCCTCTCCTCTTCCAAGCCACCCTCTTTGGGTGACTGACTTTATTGCTTTGGGCTGAAGTCTTTCACTCCTTTCTCTATTATCACGGTCTTTTCTGAAAAAGTGTTGTTCATTGTTTTAGCAGTTGTATCCGTTGATAGAGGAATGTTGTTGAATGACATCTGCCATTAATTTAGAATAGCATCTAAGTTATTGGTAATCACACATCTTTTTATTTCTTTTTATACATTGGGGGGAAATTAGATTTTGCTTTTTATGGTTGCCAATGAAAAACTTTGGATTGCTCTAATCTTTTCTCATTAGCCTATGATTTTATTCCTCTTCCTAAAAGGAGAATTTATGACATTTTATTCATCCAGATCAGTTGTAATCAGACAAATAGGAAACAATGAGGAGGAGGCAATTAATAGGCATTAAAATATTTATTCTCACAATAACTTAACCTGAAAATGGTTGTGGTTTCTCAGATTTCTGAAAATAGATCATTTTCATTTTTTTACATATTTTAAAAATATATTTTTATTGATTTCAGAGAGGAAGGAAAAGGAAGAGAGATAGAAACACCAGTGATGAGAGTGAATCATTGATTTGCTGCCTCCCGCTTGCCCCACACTGGGGATTGAGCCCACAACCCGAACATGTGCCCCAACCAGGAATCAAACTGTGGCCTCCTGGTTCATAGGTTGACCCTCAACCACGGAGCCATGCTGTCCAGGCAAAAAAGATCATTTTTAGAAAGAAAATATTTTGCATTTTTTTCTCTCAAATCGCTCCAATACTGATAAAAAAGAAAAAAAATCAGGCTGAAATGAAAAGATAAAAATGTCATGAATTCTTCTCACAAGGTCTAGCCCTGATCTTCTAGTATCCAATAGAAATCTTCACCAATGGCCTGTAACCCTCCCAGACTCTAGTGGGGTCTGTCATGCCTACCCTGAGGCTGAGTCCCTGGCTCATTGTTGAGGAGGCATCTACTTTGGTTCCTGCATCTCCAAGTGTCTTTGTCCCTGATACTGCCCCTCGAGTATAGTCAAACATGAGGACATGGGGGCCATTTGATAAGTATTAAGTATATTAATTTTAAATTTTTCTTATGAATTATAGTACTTTATTGGCTTTTTTTTTTCATTACAAAGTAAAATGCATCTTGATGTAGCAATTTAAACAATACAGGAGTAATTAAAGAAAAAGTTAACTCTTACTGCTTCTCCTCTTTCAAGCCACCTTCTTTGGGCACTTGAGTGCTTTGGTCTGAGGTCTTCCACTCCCTTCTTTATTATCATGGTGTGTGTGGAATGCCTTGCCACTTGCTGTGGGACCAGAAGTGCCCTTATACACTGCACAGGGGGAAAAATTCATAAATACGGGTTATGTATATGACTGACACTCATAATCTTCTATTACAGTACAGAGAATAGAAGCAACAGGTGCTTCAATCAGATTTCTCATCAGAGAAAAAGAGACCTAAACAAACATAAACCCAACTTGTGAACGATCTGTTATATTATTTTCCTTGTTTGGAGTGACCCAAATAAGTCTGGTGCCTCCCACTCTCTACACACCATACCTGAAGGTTCCAAAGAATTTTTTTTTTTTTTTAGGCCTCAGTGTGTGAATAGGAAACAACGTCCCTGCTTTTTTTAATTCCTATCAGCTCATTCACACTAAGGTATTAGGGATTTTATATGTCACTCAGTCCACTTTTGGACTGACAAAATAAAGCTACATCTTCATCGTAATAAACGATCATAAGCACAATAATAATTCCTTGTGCAAAATCAGAGACGTGTTCTTGCCCTGCACTTGGGGGAGCGAGAGGTGATGTGTTTAAAAGACAGAAGAGAAGGAACTAGCAGCCTGTATCCCTCTCCGTATCAGTGACTTAGCTGGGCCATGCTTGCCATATTTGGAAGTTCTTTATGGTTTCCTCCATGCTCCTCGACACACATTGAAGCACAAGTTGTTCCCTTGCTGGGAATGTTCTACTCCTTGGAATGTTCTGCTACTAATGGCTGCCTCCTCCTTGCTTTCAACTCTCAGCTTAATGGCACCATCATCCCTGACCACCCAATCTAAAGCAGCCACCCAGCCATTCTCCAGTAAATCAGCCTCTTTAATCACCACGTGGCCTGTCATTACTTTTCATAGTTTCTTATTACCTGCTTGTCAGTTTGTGTATTGTTTTTCCCCACTATTGTAATGAAAGCTTTTTGAGAGTAAGGACTGTGGCTGTTGTTTTCACTGCCCTTTCACCAGGACCTAGATCAGGGCCTGACAGAGGAATGCTCAAAAGCATTTTAGAATGAATGAAGCAAGAGCAGATCAGGAAGGAGGGAGAGAAAGACCTCCCACATATACCTCACCAATCCCACAGTTTTCCCACTTTACAATACTTTTAAAACCGACATTATTTATCTCTTAAACAAAATGAATATGAAAGAATTAAGTAAGAATCCCATGAGAGTGTGGGGGGTGAAGAGGGCCTAAAATATGGAGACAGAAGAAGATTTGACTTTGGGTGGTGGCCATAGTGCAATATAGAGATCTCGTGACATAGAAACCTACACCTGAAATTTATATGAGCCTCTTACTCAATGTCATCCCCAATAAAATTAACTTTTAAAAAGAAGGGTGGGGTAAGAATCCTTTCGGATAGAATTACAGTAGAAAACTTTGTCCAACCAAGGTACTTAGTGTGGGAACCCTTTCGGCTCCTTCCTCATTTCTCCTCTGTTCTCATTTGATTAACATCTTGTGTGAACACATTACGGAGAAAATGAGACATTTGGAAGGTCTAGGTAGGAGGACGTTTTCACTCTCTAGTATGTACTTGCAATGTCAGCTGGCCACAGTACAATCAAACTATTT